TCATATACAGGAGTGTGCTGCTTACACAGAAACTGCTCCAACAAAGTTATGAGGAGGACAGATTAAAAATGACACTCCGTAAATTTTACGGACACCATCACGAATTGGTTAGTCCATACGATGTGTCTTTGTCCAAACTAGCTAAGGACATTTTTACCACGTGTTAGATTGTGGTTTGTCATTACGTCGTCTGATCTTTTAATTACCGAACGTGACTTATTCCCGATTGTGACTGTTTTGCTGAGTGTGACACCGCATTGCTATAAGACGTGTCACGGTACCTTTCTATCCCAAATTCATGTATTTAATTTTGATGTTATATTTGTTATTCTCGTCGGATTTTGTCAAATGTCTAAACGTCTTTTCTGTTATATTCGTATGTTATGGTAAAGATAATTAATCACCCCCTTCATTTATTAGATTTTAGTTTGGTTCAACGAAATTTATACGATATATTTGGTTTACAGTTTGATTCAGAAGAAACACCGACATAGCTAGAAAATACAATTAATTATCTAATTACTACCACAATTTGATATTAATAAGTATTGTAATTGTCATTGTTATTAATAAATGTAATGTCAGTATTACAAATCTAATCTTGAATCAATCCTAATCCTATCTTATTTTTGGGAAATATTTTTACAAATTCAAATGTGACGTCACTTAGTGTGTTTTTTTTAGAATTTCAAATGTGACGTCACTTTGTGCGTTGATGCTTTGGCTAACTCGGCTGTGTGTTTTTATATGTTGGATTAAGTTGTTTTATGTAATGTTTCCGTTTTTATTCTGTAGTTAGTCCCCACTTCGGTTTTATCATGTATATCTATTATATAGTCATTTTATAAAATTTACTGTTTGCAAAATCATAAATTATTCTAAATAATAAGGATGTTCTTGTCCCAGGCAGAAAACCCTGGCCGTGTTAAGCGCAACTTTTTGGAAGTTTTGGTCCTCGGTGCTCTTCGGCTTTGTACTTATTTTGGCTTTCAAGCTTTTTTCATCTGAGCGTCACTGGATGGTCTTGTGTGGACGAGACGCACGTCTGGCGTATTGAATTTTAAGCCTAGTACCTTTTGTTAGCTATTATTCGTGTGTTTCTTTGTCCTATATGTTCTCCCATTTATTTGTATTGTGGTCCTGTCATGTAATGTTGTCGTTTTGGTGTTGTGTTTGACGTTGCCATTAAAGCGGGAGGTTTGGCATGCCACAAAACCAGGTTCAACCCACCATTTTTTTCTTAAAATGTCCTGTACCAAGTCAGGAAAATGGCCATTGTTATATTATAGTTCTTTTCTGTGTGTGTTACATTTTAATGTTGTGTTTTTGTTGTGTCGTTGTTCTCACCTTATATTTGATGCGTTTCCCTCAGTTTAGGTTTGTAACCCGGATTTGTTTTTATCTCTATCGATTTATGAGTTTCGAACAGCGGTATACTACTGTTGCCTTTATTTTGGACTTCGTTGATAAGTAGTACATATTTCCAGAGTAGTAAATTATTTGCTCTATGGACAACTTCAATTTGACTTTGCCCAAAATGATATGAAACTACCAAATATCTATAGTCATTTTAACCCTCTTTTTTTCTGCAATATTCTTAGAATATTTATACATTTCGTATTGATGAAAATGGTTACCGTTTCTAAAAAAAAACAAATAAAGATATTTACGTTTAGATATATGTTATTCAATTGATAAGACAACTCAAAGTCCTTTCATATATGACTTTCTTCTATTTTTTTTGTTTGTAGGATAATAAACAAGATATAAGTTATTAAAAATATACATATTTATCGCTATATGACGATGCAATTATGACTATGATCGAGTATAAAAAGTTAATACATGATTGTTCCATTGAAGGCAAAAAATTTTAACTGGCGTTTTTGTTTTCACATTCGGCATTGAGTATGCCGTAAAACTGCATCAAAATAAAATTCATAGAAGACATTAGTTAAAGATATTATTTTTAACATTGCTCATTTAAATAAATAGAATCTATGGCAAACAAGACGATTTTAATTTTGAATTATCAATTTCCTCCAACTTAGTAGCAATTTACCAAATTTACCTGCATATAGGATATACATTTCCCCATTCATTCGGTATTCATGAACTTGCAGCTTCTACTCAGACTTTTTAAAATGTCACCAGTGTCTTAGCAGACAGGTGATGAATCAGGGTTATGTCAATGAACGGCTCGTCCTTTTTCTGAAAAAAAGTTCATCGGAAGATACCAAGATCTTAATTACGTGTTAAAGTATTCTTTTATTTGTCTTTGTTAATTATTAACCTTTACTGTTTAGTCCATTTTTTGGTTATATTCCTTTGGCGTGGCTCGGTACTTTTACATTCCCCAATTGTGTTATTGTGTTATGGTCATTTTTTGTATTCTTGTCTTTCATGTTTTTTCTTATGTGCTTTGTCTATATGCTATTTTACTTTTTTTGTTGTTGACATATTTGTTTGTTTTTATAGTGATTAAGATTATAACACAAAATTGACTACTGTACCCCTATTTTGACATTTTTACCTATTATGTCTGTTTGTTTTGTTCACACATTGTTGTCAATATATTGGAATTTTATGCGACTGTCATACACGTGAGAGGTTTAGCTTGCCATAAAACTAGGTTTAATCCATCATTTTCTACATCTGGAAATGCATGTACCAAGTCAGGAATATGACAGTTGTTTTCCATTCGTTTGATGTGTTTGATCTTTTAATTTAGCCATTTGATACGTACCTTTCCGGTGCTGAATTTTCCTTGGAGTTCGGTATTTTTGTGATTTTACTTTATAGTCATCCAATTTTTTATGGAAATATTCTTTATAAAGCACAACAATGTCAGTATTCACCTCTGAAGCTAACAAAACCTTTAAATAGACTTATTAAGAAGGGATATAGTTACGATACTGTTGTCATGTCATTAAAGATTGCATATTTTGGCGTCAATAATGATTCACTTATAGGGTCTTTGCATCGGCACTAAACACATTTATTTAAAAACCAGTTGTTGGCATGACACGGGTTATGTTCTTCTCATATATGTTATGATGGTATGATACTAAACCCCTAACGGGAAGGATTGTGCCTGATATTCATATGATGAAGACATAATCTTTCAATCAGATTAATTGAAGTCTGAAGCTGGCATGTCAGTTAACTGCTAGTAGCCTGTTGTTATTTATGTATTATTGTAATTTTGTTTATTTTCTTTGGTTACATCTTCTGACATCAGACTCGGACTTCTCTTGAAATGAATTTTAATGTGCGTATTGTTATGCGTTTACTTTTCTACATTGGCTAGAGGTATAGGGGGAGGGTTGAGATCTCATAAACATGTTTAACCCCGCCGCATTTTTGCGCCTGTCCCAAGTCAGGAGCCTCTAGCCTTTGTCAGTCTTGTATTATTTTTAATTTTAGTTTCTTGTGTACAATTTGGAGTTTAGTATGGCGTTCATTATCACTGAACTAAAATATATATTTGTTTAGGGGCCAGCTGAAGGACGCCTCCGGGTGCGGGAATTTCTCGCTGCATTGAAGACCTGTTGGTGACCTTCTGCTGTTGTCTGTTCTATGGTCGGGTTGTTGTCTCTTTGACACATTCCCCATTTCCATTCTCAATTTTATTCATAAAAAATAAATATCCATTGTATTATAAATATCTGTTAGTATGTATGCAATATTTCAATCAATTTTCACAGATATACCACGCTTCCACTGTTCTTCGTTTGCCAAGGTAAATGTTTACATTGATGAACATGGCAAATTAAATGCAAAAATACAATTTGATTCATTTTTCGGAAATTATTTTAAACTTTTCCAAATAAGATTTATAAATGTGTGTTCATTAAATTTGGTATTAAATGTAAACTGTACATTTTCATGAAATCACAAATAAGGCCGTTAAGATTTATGTTATTGAATTTTTTCATAAACTCTCGGGTGACTTGATTTTTGTCAGTAGACAGGTTACCCTGTATCTGTTTAGGACAAGGAAGTTTACTTGAGCAGAGATGAAAAAATCATGTCAAGTTCACACTAAACCTCTTTTAAGAGAAATAACTTTATCAATCCGGCTCTATACGTCTTCGAATGATAATTCACATTATTAGAACAACCACAACATTGTTTTTTGCCATTTCCATGCGACTTTTTCTATTTTCTGCTGATTTAGGATAATTAACCAGATACAAATTAATATAAAATACGTATAATGAAGTATCTATATATCACGATATAATTAGAATTTGCATGTAGCGCGAAAGATTTTATTAAACTTAAATCTGAACTTTTAATCATAGCTCTAAAATGGTACCCCATTACCAAAGTTGTTGAAAGTTACTGCTAAATGAGAAAAGCTTACCATTTTCAAAGCAATATTACGTTCAAAATTAAAATCAATTGATATACAAAAACACAAAGGAAACCGTTGTGCCAAATATGATATATGAGTGTAGGTTTTTATGTGGTTAATATGGACAACTCAGGTAACTGAATTAAAAATTCTGTACTGATATTCCTACCAGCAGCATTTTGTAACTTTTGTCTACTGATATCGTGCTCCATGTAAATTCACCATATAATTTCACATATAACAGCTCGATATTGAAATGATGAAATGATGTTTTAATATCTGAGGTAAGAAGAACCAAATTAAAGTATAGCTACACTGGTATCAAGGTAGCAGTTGTAAAATATGGTCACTTAGAAAATTGTTTGTGTATTAAAATCCGGCATTGAGTATGCAGAAAAACTGTGGAAAGACCAGATTTAATAGAAGACATTGAGCATGTTATTTTTAACACATATCATTTAAGTCATACATGAAAAATAACTATTCATTGTATACTAAACATCTGTAAATATTTGATTCATTTTTCACACAGATATAACGCACGTTTCAGTTGTTCCTCATTTTCCAAGGTAAATATTATTGCATTGATGAATATGAAATATTTTATGCAGAAATACGTTTCAAAAATGTTATTTTGCAGGACGTTACGGGACAATCAAATTTCAACGCTCGACGGGAATACCTTTCGAGGTTTAACGGCTCTCAAGACATTGTAAGTAACTTTATCCCGCAAAAACACAATTTGCCTTCATGTGTTGCGAGTTTGCTGTCGCAATGATTTATCTTCTCTTTTTGAATAAATTTTGCAATTTTCGTACTAAAATTGATAAGTGCGTGTTCATTTAATTTGGTATAACATGTAAACTTAACCAATTTCTAGACATAAAAAATTAGAACGTTCAGATTAATGTTATTTAATTTTTAATATAAGCCAAGGTGATATAAATGATTTGAAAACAGAGGTTACCTTGTATCTGTTTAGGACAAGGTAGTTTACTTGAGCGGATACGACAGAATTTCGAATAAAATAGAGATCAACCGTGCAAAAGAAAAGAACTATAGATCTGGTGGTATACATTTGCACATCGGAGATTAGTAGTACATATTTCCCAAACAGAAAAATCTTTGCACTTTGACAACTTCAATTTGACTTTACCCAAAAACATTTACAGGAAAAATGATAAAAAACTGTTAAATATCTGTTGTCATTTTTCACCTCTTTTTCTGCAATATTCTTAGAATATGTATAAATTTCGTTTTGATTAATCAGGGTACCGTTTCTAAGAAATAAAGATATGGACGTTTAGATTTATGTTATTAAACTGATAAGATAACTCAAAATACTTTTACATCTGACTTTCTTCTAATTTGTGCTTTTTTATGGAAATAACCAAGATATAAGTTATTATAAAATGTATAAGATGATTATAAACATTTATTGCTATATTTCGATAAAATTCTGACTCTGATCGAGTGCAAAAGACAAAACATAATTGTTCCATTGTAGCTCAAAAATTTTACCCCAATCTGCAACGTTTTAGTTAGTTCTTACTGAAAGAGTAAAGGAAACCGTTTTAAGACCAATATCACTCCCTAAAATGTTTTGATAAAAAACACAAAGGAAACAATTGTTGAAAAAATAATGTATGGCTTGAGACTTTTATGTGGTTAATACGAACAACTTTGATAACCGAAATAAACATTATGGACTGATATTTCTGCCAGCATCATTTTGAAACTGGTGTCAAGACATTTCCCTTTTAGTTTAACCATATCTTTGCTCGAGATTGAGATGATGAAATGGGGGTTTTGATATCGACGGCAAAATATGCGAATTAAGATATGTCAAAACTGGTTACGACGAAGCTGTTGTAAATATGGTCTGTAAGATCATTTTGTTTGTATTAAAATTTATGATTGGTTATGCGGTTAAACTGTCTGAAGACTAGTTTTTTAGGTGAACATCAACATGTTATATTTTGCATTAATCATTTAAGTCATATATGAACTATAAACTAGTGTTGTATTGTAGACATTAATTACATTGTTTGCAATGAAATACCGTGATTTCCCTGTGAAATAAAAACCGATAATTCCACATGTGAAATAAACTCGATTATTTCACGCCCCTGACGTCATACAACAATGGGGTTCTACTTTATTTCCATTAAAAAGCCCATTGTCAATGTAATAAAAAAATAACTACTCAAATAATTCAAGTATCGAAAAATATTCGTGATCGAACAACACTGATAATTAACGCATACGTTAGGCGCATTCGTGAATTAATGTGTTGTTTAGTCACTCGTTGAATATTTTTCTGATTAGGAATTTGTTCATTTACAGCTCCAAAGGTATTTTATTTGGCAAAGTTGTCTTTACCTACTACTGAATGAGAAAGGTAGAAATTTATTAGACCAATATCACTTTACCAAAAATATGTTTGTTAAATAAATTAAAAGGAACTTGTTATGCAAAATATAATATAGCGTAAAGTAATAGATAAGGTTGAAATGGACAACTTCGGTAACTGAACTGAAAATGTTGTGTCAGCATTCTTCGAAGTCAATTGTCTGCATGCACACAACAACGTTCTACTTAACGTCATGGTCGCTGACTATGAACCTTGTTAAATGACGGGATAAATGAAACACGTCAGAAGACCTCACTTCAAATCTAAAAATAGTGTTGTAAAATATGGTCATTGAATTATTTGTTTTCAAATTCTTCATTGATAATGCGGTGATACTGTCTAAGGAAAACCTCGATTTTTTTTACTTAAGCGCAGCGATTGAAGATGTTTTCGTCTAATAATGATAATAATAATAATGTAAGCCATAGATGAATAATAACTTTATATTATATTATGAAAATCTGCCAGTATGTTTTCAATATATATCAACCAGATAATAAACAGATATACTAGACTTCCGTCGGCCAATAATTGCATTGACGAACATACCAAATGTACCGAAAAAATACGTTATACTCTACTGTAGGTACCATCAAACCATTCAAAATACAAAAGTCCCCATATGTTGCTATATCACCCATCTCCATTTCTTCAGGTTTTTTTTCCAAGTAACACAAGTTTTCGAGAAAGCAATATATTTATAAGCAGTGTTTTTATCTTTTTAAAAAGATTTTGAAATATGGATTGATTTAGTTTGTAAAATATTTTAAGTCTACCGTTTGAAAGAAAATAAAAATAGACATTTAAATTGCTGCAATTGAATAGATCAGATAACTACATATCATCTGCATTTAGTTAATCGATAAGGTTTTCCTGAAGTTTTGTAATGAAATAGTTAACTACAACAGGGATGACAACTGTTCATTATAATTAGGATAAAACTTCCTTAAAAAAATATTTTCGAAACAATAAAATCTTTGCACTTTGGACTATTTCAATTTAACTTTTTTGTATTTTGCCCGAAAATTAAAATGAAGATTATATGAAGCTATTGAATATCTGTAAAGGTCATTTAGTTTTCTCTTTTTGAAAACTGTCTGCACAATTCCTCAAAATGTATACAAAGAATTAAATTTAATATTGTAGCGTTTCCTAAAAATAATTGAATATATAATATAACGCATGTGATATGACTTTAGTCAGTGGGCTATGTCACAAATTTTCTGAATGGAGAGGTTCCCTATTTCTTTTGATGACAAGATAGTTACCCCTGATTGAGAAATGCAAATCATTTGTAGACCAATATTACTTCAAAAAAATCATATGATAAAAAAAGAGGAAATCGTTTTTTAAAAATATGATATATGAGTTAAGAATGTTTTAGTGTTAAAACGGACAACTTAGGTAACTGGGTTAACAAGTTTGGACTGATTTCCCAATGAGCCTCATTTTGAAACTTTTGCCAGGTTACACACAAGGAAACCATTGTGCAAAACATAATATTTGAGTTAAGGATTTTATACGCTAAATACGGGACAATTTAGATAACCGAATTAAAAATTATGGACTGATATTTCTGCCAGCATAATTTTGAAACTGTTGTCTGCTTGGACATTACTATATTTGATTTAACCATATCTTCGCTCGAGATTAAGATGATGACAATAGGGTTTAAATATCGAGGGCAAAAGATGCAAAAAAGATATGGTATCACTGGTTACGATTAAGCTGTTGTAAATGTGGTCTCTACGATATTTTTTTGTTTATTCAAAGTTATGATCAATTATGTGGTTGAACTTTCTGAAGACCAAATTTTAATGAGTTTTTTTTAGTCGAACACCAAAATATTACATTTTGCATAAATCTTTAAGTTTTACATGAATAATAACTTTTTGTTGTATTAATTATACACATCTGTCAGTAAGTATGCAATATTTCAACCAGTTTTCAAAAAGATGTACTCCACTTTAATTGGTCTTCTTTTTCCAAGGTAGATGATAAGGTGATGAATACGAAACGTTTGTGATTCCGCAATCCTCTGCCAACCTTAAACAGTGATGTAACAAAATAACTATGAGAACACACTTTACAAATCATCTGAAAGGGATTTATTCATCAAATCAACAAGAAATATATGTCAGTATGTCTGTAATACCTTTAATTGGTTTTCAATCAGATATACTACACTTCCACTTGTCTTCTTTTTCTACGGTAAATATTTTTGAATGATGAATACAAAACATTTTATGCAGAAATACGTTTTAAACAATATTATTTTACAGGAACTTGAATGACAACCAAATTGTAGCACTTGACGTAAATCTCTTTAAAGGTTTGACGGCTCTGACGGAATCGTAAAAAACTTGATTCCACAAACAACTGTTTGCCTTCATGTGATGCTGGTTTACCAAGCAATTATTTGATTTATCTATTTATTTTTCCTTTTTCGTCCACGAATATATTAATTTGTGTCAATTTAATTTTGTAATACATTAAAAGTGTAAAATTAAAAAAAATTAACAAATAAGGACTTCAGATTTATGTTATTGTATTGCTGATATAAGGCAAGGGGTAGGAATTTGTTGACTGAGAGGTTTGCCTATATCTGATTAGGAAACAATAGTTTACAGGAGCAAACATGATAGAATTCTTAATCAACTTGAGACAAAACCTTAATAAAGTGGAATAGCATTATTGCTCTTTTTATGTTTCAACTAACCAAATACAACCACCTGGTTATAAGTACATTGTATATATATTTGAACAACACACGAATTAAGTCGCAAGGTATTACACGTGTCTGAGTCCGCAATCCTGTGCCAACCTTAAACAGCGATGTAACAAAATAACAAAGAGAACAAATTTTACAAATCATCTGAAAGGGATTTATCCATCAAATCAACAAGAAACATCTGTCAGTATGTCTGTCATACCTTTAAATGCTTTTCAAACAGATAGACTACATTTTTGTACACTTCCATGTGTCTTCTTTTTCTTCGGTAAATATGTTTGGATTGGATGAATACAAAACATTTTATGCAGAAAAACGTTTTAAAAAATGACCTGCAAAACAACCAAATTGTAACACTTGACGTAAATCTCCTTAACGGTTTGACGGCTCTGACGGATTTGTAAGTAACTTGATTCACATACAACTGTTTGCCCAAATGTGATGCTGGTTTGCCACGCAATGATTTGATATATCTATAAGAACTTGTTTTCTATTTCGTCCACAGATATATTAATTTGTGTCAATTTAATTTGTATTACACAAAAGGTGTACAATTTAAAGAAATATA